TCCTCCTCTGTCACGATCATCTCATCTTCTCATGACCATCTCCTCAACCTCATCTCCTCCTCCATCATAATCATCCCATCCTCTTTCTCCATCACATCACCTCATCCTCCTCATCTCCTTCTAAATCATGACCATCTCTTCAACCTTCTCCTCCTCTTCTTCTCCATCACAATCATCTCCCATCTCCATATCTCCTTCTCCTTCATCATGACCATCTCCTCAACCTCATTTTCTCCTCCATCTTCTCATCTCCTTCTAAATCATGACCATTTCTTCAACCTCCTCCTCTTCTTCATCACAATTATCTCCTTATCTCCATCATGACCATCTCCTCAACCTCCTCATTTTCTCCTCCTACTTCCCCATCATAATCCTCTCATCCTCCATCACGGTCATCTCCCCATCCTCTGTCTTCTCATCTCCTCCTCCTCCTCCTCCGTCGTGACCATCTCCTCCTCTCTCCTCCCTTGTTTCAAACCATCTCTAGAATCAGAAGGACCCCATGGCCATCGACCGGATCATGAAGAACCTGGAGGAATGCCGAGATGGCAAAATCGGCTTCGAGGGCTTCCTGTCCCTCTTTGCCGGCTTGACCAACGGCTGCAACGAGTATTATGTCAAGAAAATGAAGCCTTCAGGGAAGAAGTTCTGAACTGGGCAGACCCAGCTGGCTCTTCCCAAGCACTGACGGCGCGTTTTGGCCCAGGGAGAGCTTCAACGGTGCCCGCCTCGCCTGCCCGCTTCCCCATCCAAAGCCAGCTCCTTCCGCTTCAAAGTGGCACACGTTGTCCCAGGCCTGACCACCCGAGCTGACCACGTCCAGGAGAAACTAACCCCGAATCAAAATGGTGAAAAACGCACACGGACCACCTTGTTTGCGCCCAAAATTACGCTTCCGTTTGCCCTTACGCTGTGTCCTCGGCTGAGAAATAAATATCTCTTTTTTTTTTTTTTGTATTGGCATGCCTGTTCTTTTATTGTTACTGGGAATAAAACTCCAATAACTGTACAGGCACTCCTCAATTTAGGACGGGTTGCTTAGTGGCCGTTCAAAGGTAAAACAACCAGTATTGTAACAATCCTCTGGCATCAAACCCTGATTGTGTGTCTCATGCTAGGTAGTTTCAAACATGGATGAGCCCATAAACAGTGCCGGAGAAAACGAGCTCTCTACTCTGAAAAATAATTTGGGGAAAGATGCCTGGATATGAAGCATTTTGATGGCGAGATTTGATTTATTTTTAATGGAGAAACTTTCAAAATAAATATCTTTTGTTTTCCATCGGGATAAATAAATGGCTTAGGAAGCCAACCCCGTGATCTGTTTTTGTCTCCAGTATTTGAACTAATGAGGGTTTGGGGCCTCTGAGCGTGTGCAAAGGGCTCCAGTCTGAGCAAGAAGCATTTTTATTTTTATTTATTTATTATTTTTTTGCTCTGCAAAGGGGTGGGGATGGGCTCAACTAGGTGGCGATTGATACTCCCCTGGGCCAATCAGAGAAGCCGCTTGGATACGTAAGTGCCCGGATGAGTCAGGCATGAAGGTTTGATGAGCAAGGTTGGAGCGTGGCTCGTCACGGCACGCTAGATTGGCGTTCAGGTTATCCAATGGGAGGGGAGCAGCGCTTGCGTGAGGCACGAGCTGAAATGTCATTGGAGTGGCGCGTTGTTGGGCCGGACTGGCACGTCTAAGGCCAAGGGAGGAGGAGGAGGAACTGAAGAGGCGGAACAGCTCCTGATTGGATAGGTCGCCTTGACTGACAGTCCCTCAGAGCCAAAGAAGGCCTGGGCGGGAGCGGGCGATTTCAAAACTGACACGTGGCCAAACGAGACCCCCGTCAAGTTCTTTGCCGCGAGAACGCCGTGTGGCCACGCCCCTCGCGTGACGTCAGGAGCCGGCGTCGGCGCCGCCTCCGGCTCATTCTGCTCTCGAGAGGGGAGGGCGACGGAGGTGAGTCTTGCGCGCGGTGGTCGGTGGGGGTCGGAGTTCAAAGGTCACGCCGAGAGGAACGACGGCCCTGCGAGGTCGGCCTTCCCAACTGAGGAGGTCATTTAAATAATCCTTATTTTGCTGCCTTCGGTCGCTGATAAACGGTCCCGACCCGTGAATGAGGCAGGAATCCCTGTGATGCTACGAGAGGCTTTGGGCTTCCTTTTAAAAAAAGAAAATTCTGGTTGCATCTGAGGGGCACGAGTAGAAAAGATGGAACAGTCATAGTGGGTGGGTATTTGCAGCTATGTATGGAGATGTATATATATACATATACATATATATATAAAATACAGATACGGAACGTATACAATGATATATATATGTATATGGCATATATATTGTGTTTGTAATTAGATAGCTGTACCAACATATATATGTATATATGTGTGTGTGGTAAGTTTTTTCCGGAGAGACGGGTCTGGTTGATGCACCTTGGTTTTTTTATTTGCTATATTACAGTTAAAGCTTGAAATAGTTATTCTAGCCTCCCATTCAACTCTTTAAGTCAACAAAAAAGAAATTTGAATGTATGTATATGTGTGTGTGTGTGTGTGTGTGTATTTGCCAACCTCAAATTATATATGTGTGTGTGTGTACATATATATATATTTGTGTGTGTGTGTGTATGTATATACACATATATATGCATGTATGTGTGTATATATGTATGCGTGTATATAGGTGTGTGTTTGTGTATATTTGCCAACCTGAAATATGTATGTATGTGTGTATACACACACACACAAACACACACACACACACACACACACACACACACAGTGTATACGTATAGGAAATCCGGAAACTGTATGTATATGCAATAAAAAATCTAGAAGGTTGCAGAGTCAGAGATCAGCTGCCCTCCAGGGCTGAAACAGGTGGGGAAGAATCAGTTTCTGATTCAGCAATGAATAAATGAATGGATGGATAGATATAAATGCATATATTGGAGCGAAACGCAGAACAGACTGATTTACATTTGGTGGACCGGGTGCTCCACCCAACAGAAAATATATATGTATCTTTTCTGCTGGGTGGAGCACCCGGTCTACCAAATGCAAATCAATCTAACTATAACAGGGGACACCGGAAAAGTGCTGAAGGTCAAAGCCAGCTGGCAGTAGTTATGCCCTCCCAGCACTGCTACTTTGCTCAGTGGCTGAGGTGGCTGCTTGACCTTCACCAAATACCCTCTGCCATTTTGGCTTAGGACAGGCCTCCCCTCCCCAAAACACTGCTGTGGCCCGCATAGACGAGCTTACAGTTCCCCATCAGCTCACAAACACTGCATCTGGCCTGTTGGCTGGGGAAGATGGTAGATGGAGTCCGTGACAACCCAGAAGCAGGGTGGGGGGAGACAGCGAAGTTGAGAGGGGAGAAGGTCTCCTTTTAGAAACCAGATTAAAGCTGGATCCGGGATAGTTGTGCTGAAACTGTTACCCACATTCTTTTGACAGAAGTAGCGCTGACGTTTTCCTCTGTTGCATTGTGGTTCCCTGCGGAGGAAGCGCTGAACTTAGCTGCCAAGGAGTGGGTCACACAAGTCATGTTGCGAAACTGGGCCAGGCTATGGAGGGGTCTCCCTTGCTCCGTGACCCCTAGAAATGGGGCGCAGGACACAATTTCCCCCATGGGGGTCGTCCACCGTTTCTCCCACAAGGTACAGGGAGATTCAGGAGTAAGTATCAAAAGAATTGGCAACCCGTCAATCCATCTTTTTCTTAACCAACCCGGAAAACATTTGCTATTTTTTTTTTTTTTTAGTTTCGGGTAATAACTTTGATTTATGGTGCATGCTGTGGTTTTATCCGGTTCTCTGATAAACGCTGTAGCTTTTGGCATGCTTTACTGCTCATCTGCATTGTGGCTTGTTTCCATTGGCTCTAGCGTAACGCATCAGGCTGGCTTTCGTAGCTTCTAAACCAGGGGTGGGCAACTCTGGCCCCTTAACGACCTGTGGACTTCAACTCCCAGAGTTCCTGAGCCAGAATTCTGGGCTGGCTTGCGAATTCTGGGAGCTGAAGTCCACAGGTCATTAAGGGTCCAGAGTGGCCCACCCCTGTTGTAAGCCATGTTTGGTGGGTGACACAAACCGATACCTCTTTTCCAAATGATCGGAGCAGGTGAGCTTCAGAAATTTGAGGCCTGTTTTAAGTGGTTGGGTGTAAGTCCTCCGGGCCACTGTTTTCCCCTCTGCAGTTAGTTGACTAACAAGCCATGTTGGGGGCAGGACTAGAAGACCTCCAAGGTCCCCACCTTATTGTTCCATGTTCTAATGTCCACTTTCTGTTTCCAGGCTTGGCTATATGCAATAGAGACAAATAAAGATCAGGCTGTCCCCAATCCTAGCTGGAGCCAAGAAATGATGGAGCAGTTCAACCAATACATGGAGATGACGAAAGACGGAAGCTGGCAAAAGCTGCCCTCTTACAGGAGTATTTCTGATTACATTCCAGGCAAGCTCCTGCCCGCCTGCAGCATTTCAACCTTTGAAACAGGGCTAAAGTTTTGGTGACCCTGGAACATAATCCTAAATTCAATCATTCTGAAATTATGGGTTTGTTGTTGGGTGTTCCTGTAATCAATCAGTCTGACACAGTCCTGCCTGGTTGAGCTGAAGGAGTTAATTGTGGCAGATTTACGCCATTTCCCTTCTCTTTTGAAAGGGAGAGCAAAGAGCAGCCCTGCCTTGCCTAACCCAGATTATTTGGTCTCTCCCCACCTCACCCTCCAAATTTTACTCCCCATGGTCCCTTCAGCCGGCCTCTCAGCGCCGTAAATTTTAAAAATGGGTGGCTAGGTTTAGTTCTCTTTCCCCTCTCTTAATATGCTTGTAAATCTTTAATCTGTCCCTGCGCCGAAGTTACTGAGAGGAATTTGTGGCAGGCGAAAGGGCAGCTTCCTTTCTCTGACCTATCCCCCCCTCCCAAAAAATGGCACATTTAGCCTTCGACACCCGGCCGTTCGTTTAGTGACCGTCTGAAGTTAAAACCAGATTGAAAAAAAGTGACTTCAACGGTTGTTCACACCTGTGACCACTGTAGCATCTCCAGGGCCACGTGATATCAAAATTCAGATGCTTGGTAACTGACCCCTATTTACGACGGTCGCAGTGTCCCGTGGCCCCCCTTTGGTGACCTTCCCGTCAATGCGGGAAGCCAGTTTCACTTAACCACCGTGTTACTAATTTAACAAACTGCAGGGATTCCCTGACCAACTGGCGAGAGAGGTCACTAAACGGGGCAACATTGATTAATAACTGTCTCTCTTAGCAGTTGAAAGTTCGGGCTGGGTTCTGGTTGAAAATCCCGAGGATTAGCTCCGTATAGTTTCTTGTGGGGCTCTACCTCTGACGGACGTTGCTTTTTTTGCCGCCCCTGCAGAAGGAGACCCAAAGCCGGAATTACAAAACGATAAGCACCGCCTCTTCCTCCGATGTGTCACGGAGGAAGGCATGGGTTTTGAGTACGCCATGTTCCTGAATCTTTCGGAGAAGAGGATGGCGTCCTTCTTCCAGCTAGGGCCCTACCTTGAAGGACCTTCAGGGTAAGTCTTAAAAAAAAAAATCCAGTTTGTAAAAAAAATCATAATATTGCTAGAGAGATGATGCTTCAGGCTAAAATCCTGCCCTCGGCTGTTTTGGGGGGATAAATCGGTTGGGGGACAAGTTGGACTTCCTTCCTAGTGACAATGTAAGACCTGGGCTTAAACGGAGGAGGCTGACATCACATCCTCTTCCTGTTTCCAAATTCCGACTCCATTTCTGAAGGTCTCGCTTTGGGTATAGACCAGGAGTCTTTCAAGACTTGTGGACTTCAGCTCCCAGAGTTCCCCAGCCAGCTGTGCAGTTAACAAGGCACAACAGCTGTGCTGACTGGGGAATTCTGGGAGTTGAAGTCCACAAGTCTTCAAGTTAACAAGGTTGGGCAGCCCTGGAATAGACCATTCCTGTGAAGCTGCGAAGTTCCGTTGCTCAATGATCCGATTGCAGCCCTTAAATAACACAAAATGATTGTTTTATTCTTTTTAACCTTGCAAGCTGCTCAAGGTCACCTAGTAGCGAGACAAGCGGCAAATAAATTTAATAAATATCCTTGTGGACCTCTTGGGAGCGTCCCCTGGCATGGGATCTATGGAGACAGGGTTGCCCAGCACCATATAGTCTCCCCAACCTGTTTTTTTTTTTTTTTTTTTTTTTTTTTTTTTTTTTTAAACGGGCATAAATCCCTCCTCATTTTCACCCTTTTGAGTTTGCAGGTTCCCACTTTCCTCGAGCGTTTTTCAGTTTTGTTTTATTTTGTCTCTCAAGATACGCCCACGGTGGTGCCATCGCCACTATCCTGGACACCACACTAGGGGCCAGCGCCTTCCACATCAGCCGCTGGGTGATGACCGCTAATCTCAACTTAAACTACAAGAGGTCAGTGCCTTAAGGAAAAGAAGAAGAAAAAATGAGGATTGAATTGAATGGATTCGTTAAAGTTTGGAACAAAGAAACAGGCCAATGTCTTGTAACAATTTGCATGTTTCCCCCTCCTTCAGCCCCGTGGCCTTGGGCTCCGTGGTCAGGGTGGACAGCAGGGTGGACAGAGTTGAGGGCAAGAAGATCTTTGTGAGCGGCGAAATGTGGAGTGTGGATAAGCAGACCCTCTACGTACAGGCCACTGGTAAGTATAGATAATGCAGAGTCACTTCAATCTGCCTTCTCCAACCTGGATTTCCCCCCCCCTCCCCAGACTCCAGTTCCCAGAATTCCAAGCAGCATGGCCGAAAGCCCTCCAGGTTTTAAGAAATGTAGATTAGAGGTGGCTACCCCGATTGCCTGATTCAATTTTCGATAATGCCCTGTTTTCCTAGCTTGGGCTTTTCTCTCCCCCCCCCCCCCCTTTCTCCTCTTTTTTTTTTTTTTTTTTTTTTTAGCTCTCTTTATTGAACTGCAGCCCGACTCTTTTCTCCGGAAAGCAAGGGACCCCCACAGCTCCCTTTAACTGGCCGCCTGGCTGCCCGAGGACAGCTCTATCGCAAGCCATTCTCAAAGGAGTTTCACCGGTATCTCTCCAGCCCTCTTTGCACCACAGGCTGGAACAACAGCGTGCCCAAAAAATGCAACCCACACCGGTTTGGCATGCCGTCTTTTGTCGAGCGAGGCGGGAGGCCGTGAATCCAAAAAACTATATTTCTTGCCGACGTGTCACCTTGCAGATCTGAGCTTCGTGCCCTAATTCTAAAACCTGATGGGTGTTTTCTGGCTGTTTTCGAACTCCCCCTCCCCCTTTCTTGGCTTTTCGAGGGTATATTTATATTTCAACTGTGGTTGGGTCCAAATTTTGGGTCCTTGGGGGGGGGTTTCTCTGAACTGGGCGGGTTTCCTTGCGGACGTTTCGTGACCCGACTAGATAACGTTGTCAGCAAACTCCGTTTCCTTCCTAGCACTAATGATGTCACCCAGTGATCCCTTGGGGATGCTAAGAAGCAAATATTGTGTTGTTCTGTTTATTTGAAGCACTTTAGTTAGCTATAGATGCCTTTTGAGATAGGAAATTCTGGAGACAGGAAAGACATAAAGGGTACCTGTTAAATTCCTATCTCTGCCCAGCTTTCTCAGTGCCTTGTGGAAGAGTTATTGACACTTGTTAAACATTACCTTACTTTTACATCAGCCTTTTCATCTGTTGGTTTGAGTAAGAGCCAGGAGATTGCAAATGAGAACGATAAATCCAACTACTCTTTACGGGTCTGTTCCTGCTTTATCTTTCGGAACCAATTTGCATAACTTCCTCTTGTTCTTCCTGGTTTTCCTGGTGCCAGCTGGGAGCTAAGGAGAAAAATGGCCACAGGTGAGGGATGCAAATAAGGAGACCATCTCCATATCCCAAATAGAATAGAATATAGAATATAAAATAGAATATAGAATTAGAAAGAATAGAATAGAATAGAATCATAGAATCGTTATTGTCACTTTAAATGTACACTAAGCATATATTAAAAATGAAAATTTGTTGCATACGGTCATTCATTAATTTGGGTGGAGAAATACTGTACGCGCAGTACATCATCTCTGCTCGCACCACTAGCCATCACTCTTGTAACTACTGACAGTTTAAATGCCAGTTGAGCAACAGCATGATACTTGTTTTATCAGCTTGGTGAAAATATGCCCACGGATCTGGGATTAAGGCCAGATGATTGTACCCAAGTTTATTGTGGAAGGTCTTGGCTCACATCATGGGGGGGAGGGAATCATGAGCAAACTTCTCAGGTCCTTCTGGTTTGAGGGTGTGTCTTCAGCCAGGCAGTTGGTCCTGGCTGAAGTTCCTCCACTGCTGATCGAAGGAAGCAGTCTGTCCAAGCTGTTGGGAGCTGAGCTGTGCCCAAAGAAGAGCTCCTGAGAAGAAGACGCCCTCCTCAAGGGAGCAGCGGGTCAAAATATTCAGAATGCAGAGTCTTCTGAGGAGCATCAACCAGACGGTCAAAGGGATGGCCACCAGGGTTCCTGCTCTGGCATGGAGGAAAGAGCTCTTGGTACAGCCTCCTCGTCTGCTCCTCAGAAGGACATCCACAGTGAGTATTGGGGAGGGCTTAGAAGGGAGGGGGGACACCCTCCCCAAATAAAGCTCTTTGCCCCTGGTTTTGGAGGACCACCTAAAGGTTCTGAGATCCTGAGGAGCTGCTGAAGGATGCAGAGAAGGTAGAGGCTCCTGCATCCAGAGCCCAAGAGACCTGATGGGGTGGGCAGAGATGATTGAAGGCCTGCCAATAACCCACCACGGTGCCCCTGAAGGGTCTTGTGGGCAGGAGTGGGGACACTCAGCGCGAGTGTCCTTTCCCAGCAACAGCCCCACCAGTGTCTCAAGGACTTCGGTCTCCCCAACTCAAGCTGGAGCCCAGAGATGATGGACCAGTTTCAGAAGTTCACAAAGATGTCCGAGGACGGATTGTGGCAGCGCATTCCCAGTTACAACAGCTCCGTGGACAGCATGCCAGGTCAGTCTTTCCATCCCACTTGAAACATTTCTCGGGTGGCCACCGCCGTTCCTTCCAGGCGGGCCTTCCTTCTACAGCTGTCAGTTCGCCCGAAGATGGCATCTCCTCAAATCTGTCATCCCAAGTTAGTTCGCCCAGATCCTTCCCTCTGCGGGGTTGCTCAACCTCGTGAAGGTCAGCTCCCCATATTTTCCCCACCAGGTTGAGGTCCGCCCCGTCTTCAAGTTGTCACGCTTGAGCAACACCACCTTAGATGCCCATCAGATTGTGTAGGAGGAAAGTTCTGGCTGTCAACCACACCTAAATTGGAGTGAGACCAATTTCCTAGCCTTTGACGGAAGATCTGACCGTCCGGGGTTGTGTTCGTCAACTTGGCAACTTGAAGATGGGTGTCCCAGTTGTGCTTTTTCAGGAGGCAACTGGAGGGGTTGGTTCTCTGAATTGGGTGGGTTTCCTTTGCAGATGTTGCGTGACCAGCTAGGTAACGTCATCCATGCTAGAAGGGAGGGGGGGATTTGTGGAGCATTTTATAAAACTTTGCAAAGTCATCTGGGCTGATTTGGGGAGAATCCACCTGTGGGATCTCCTGGGTTTGGTGGGGGAGGATCTGATGGCATCTGGGCAGCTTTGGATCTAGTTCAGCTCTCTTTTTATTTTAATTGTATTAGATTTATAGGGCTACCCAACTCATGAGCGACTCCAGACTCTTATCTGGATTGGCTTCTTAACCTTGGGGATGGTTTGGGGGTTGGTTTCAAGAAGGGGGACACCAGGGGCTGTGATGTCCAGGAGGGCAGCATACCTGGTCACTCACCTGAAAAGGGAGGTGTTGCCCAGGTGCTGAAAATCAGCATCTTGCAATCGACCTGGGCATCTTCCGTGGGTTTGCTGGCAGTCTGTGGGGTGCAGAAGCTTATGCCTTTTGGGGTGCCTGTTAAATGCCTACCTCTTTGCCCAGCCTCCTGAGTGCCTCGTGGAAGAATTGTTGACACTGGTGCTACGTTTGCCCTACGTTTACACGAGTGTTTCACGTGTTGCCTTGAGGAGCAGTGCGGCGATTGCAAATGAGATAGATGAATAAATGATAAATGTTAAATGATAAATGAGATAGAGGATAGATAAATGGATTTCAACTTTGCATGTCTGCTCTTGTTCGGTCTTTGTGTAAATGCCGGTTCTTTTGTCTTTGGAGATTCTTGGTCATCCAGGTCAGAGTTTATCCCAAAGGTGATTTTTTCACGAGGCGATTGGACTTCCTTGTTTTTCTTTGAAGGATGTTTCGCTTCTCATCTCTGGAGCTTCTTCAGCTCTGACTGGATGGTGGGGAGTGGAAGGATTTATACTCCTTGCAGACCACTGGTCATTTGCCTCCTTAGAGAGTCGTGAGGCCACTTGGAGGTTTACCTGAGTGAGGTAGTGGGTTGATCTCCAGTCTACCACACAGTCCTTTAGCAGTTCCAAGAAGGCTCCACAGCCACTTGCACCACTCAGGTGACCCTGAGGACACAGGTAAACCTCCAAGTGGCCTCAACGACTCTCTCAAAGGAGGCAAGTGACCAGCGGTTTGCAAGGAGCATAAATCCTTCCTTTCCCACCATCCAGACAGAGCTGAAGAAGCTTCCGGGATGAGAATCGAAACGTCCTAAGAAAAACGAAGGAAGTCCAATCGCCTCGTGAAAAAAAGCACCTTTGGGTCCTCTCGTTCTTCCTGATTTTCCTGATGCCAGCTGGGAGCTAAGGAGAAAAACACCTGCAGGTCAGTCATTCATTAATTTTAATTAAGGGTGGAGAAATGACTGCAAATCCAGGTCCCAGCGAGAGTTGGAAGAACTTCCTGGAATATGGCTACAGCCAGGTAAACCTCATCCATGTATCCAGGATACAACTGGGAGTTACCTTGTCTAGAGACTCACCCTGCTGGTCTCTGGACCTTGGGTGGTTCTGGTGGGCACCTTGGATCCTGGATGAAGGCTGGTTGCTTTGAGGTTGCTTGAATGTTTCTGCTTTACCTTGGGGTGCTCAGTCCTTCGGTTGGGAGGTGACCTTTTCCTGCAGCTGAAAAGAGGACATGGTCCTCTCCCATCGAAGAGTGGAAGATGATTGTAGTTGCGAGGTTGGGAAGATCGGTTTTCCACGGTAGCTATAATGTTCAGCCTCCCAGGCGGAAACGCTGCTTACTGACTGGGTTTCACACCCCTTGATGGGGACCTTTCCCACCCTGGTGCCCCCCCCATCGTGGTCCACAGGTTTGGGAGATGGCAACCAGCTTCCACCATCAAAGTCTCTGCTCCCTGGCTGTGCTCAAATCAAATTGGTTTAGTCCTTGGGGAGGTGTTGATGTTTACTAATGGGATGGCCCAAGACAGGCACATCTGGATGGAATTATACACCATCTCTGTTTCCCCCTACGGGGATGTCTCTTGCAACTACGGACAACTTAAATACCTGTTGAGCAACGGCTGCTTATTTGATGTGCTCGGTGAAAATATGCCCACGGATCTGGGATTAAAACCAGGTGACTGGACGCATGGAAGGTCTTGGTATGAAATGAGCTCATTTTTCAGGTCCTTCTGGTTTGAGGGTGTGTCTTCACTGGAAGGGAGAAACTGTAGGCATTTGGTCCTGGCTGAAGTTCCTCCACTGCTGATTGAAGGACGCAGTCTGTCCAAGCTGTTGGGAGCTGAGCTGTGCCCAAAAAAGAGCTCCTGAGAAGAAGACGCCCTCCTCAAGGGAGCAGTGGGTCAAAATATTCAGAATGCAGAGTCTTCTGAGGAGCATCAACCAGACGGTCAAAGGGATGGCCACCAGGGTTCCTGCTCTGGCATGGAGGAAAGAGCTCTTGGTACAACCTCCTCGTCTGCTCCTCAGAAGGACATCCACAGTGAGTATTGGGGAGGGCTTAGAAGGGAGGGGGGACACCCTCCCCAAATAAAGCTCTTTGCCCCTGGCTTTGGAGGACCACCTAAAGGTTCTGAGATCCTGAGGAGATGCTGAAGGATGCAGAGAAGGTGGAGACTCCTGCGTCCAGAGCCCAAGAGACCTGATGGGGTGGGCAGAGATGATTGAAGGCCTGCCAATAACCCACCACGGTGCCCCTGAAGGGTCTTGTGGGCAGGAGTGGGGACCCTCAGCGCGAGTGTCCTTTCCCAGCAACAGCCCCACCAGAGTCTCAAGGACTTCGGTCTCCCCAACTCAAGCTGGAGCCCAGAGATGATGGACCAGTTTCAGAAGTTCACAAAGATGTCCGAGGACGGATCGTGGCAGCGCATTCCCAGTTACAACAGCTCCGTGGACAGCATGCCAGGTCAGTCCTTCCATCCCACTCGAAACATTTCTCGGGTGGCCACCGCCGTTCCTTCCAGGCGGGCCTTCCTTCTACAGCTGTCAGTTCACCCGAAGATGGCATCTCCTCAAATCTGTCATCCCAAGTTAGTTCGCCCAGATCCTTCCCTCTGCAGGGTTGCTCAACCTCGTGAAGGTGGGTGGGCTTCAGCTCCCCAGGTGTATCCACCTCCCCCAGCTGGACTTCTGGGCATTGAGGTCCATTCCTCTTCAGGTTGACAAGCTTGAGGAACTCCAGCTTAGATGACTTATTGGGTTGTGTAGGAGGAAAGCTTTGGGTGTCAACCCTATGAAGGGCCTTTTGCTAGCCTTTGAAGGAAGATCTGGAGTTTCTGTTCCTCAACTTGGCAACTGGAAAATGGGTGGACATCAACTCCCAGAATCCTTAGCCCAAGTTACGTTGCGTGCGTGCAATTGAGAGCAACTAGACCCACCCTCTGAAGGGCAAGGAAACCCCAGAATCCCGGTTTTCATTGGGGGACAATTTTGCACCAACTGTCAAACCCTTTCTGTGGCACCCCCTTTTCTCCCATAGCCCGGCTTAAAATTTTAACTTCCAGTTGCCCCTCTGCCACCCCCAACCAATTCTACTTACCTCCTCCCCAAAATGTTCTAGATTCAGAATTCCCCCCCCCCCAGGGGAAATGATTGTTTTTAGCCCCAAACCAAAAATCTGATAAATAGGGAATTTCCGACTTCTCTTTTCTTTTTATTTTTTTTTTCTTTCCTCATTTTGTTTTGTTTTTTTCCCCGCCTTTGTAGCTCACAGGAAATCAGTGTACAGCCCAAGGAAGCAGAAAGAGGCCTGCTTGTTCGTCCGGAACGTGGCCACCGAAGGTCACGGATTCGAATTTGCCATGTTTTACAACGGGGCTGAGAGACGGATGGTGGTTCTGCTCCAGCCGGGATCGTATTTGGAAGGGATGATCGGGTGAGCTGGGACGGGCACATCCGGTCAGACACTCTACGAGTCTCTTTTCTGACATTTGAGGGGAAAATGCCTCACTTACAGGCAGTCCTCGAATTACGACCGACGGCTTAGGGACTATGGTTAGACAGAACAATTAACCAGTGGAACCACCTGCCTCCAGAAGCGGTGAATGCTCCAACACTGGAAGTTTTTAAGAAGAGACTGGACAGCCATTTGTCTAAAATGGGATAGGGTTTCCTGCCTGAGCAAGGGGTTGGACAGATGACCTCCAAGGTCCCTTCCAACTTTATTATTATTATTACTCGAAATTACGACCTGCCTGAAAAAGGGGACTTAGGACCAGGATTCCAAGTTGTAACAGGTTCCCATTTCTCCATCATTGAGTGACCCATTTTATGACGGCCATAATCAGCAGGCTCAATTACGGTCAGATCTTGAGGACTGCCAACATCCCACCATGGAACTGCGAGGCTGTCGATTAAGCTTCTTAAATTCAATTTGAGGAATGCCAGATGGGCCTGGAAGTGCAGGCATTTTGTAAGCCATCTGGCCCAACTAATATTGAAGATTTTTTTAAAAAAATAAAATAAAATGCTTTTAATAAATAGCAATGCCCAGGTTTGATCAGTGGAAGGAAAGGGAGCCAGGCAGATTCGTTTAGGACTTGGGCATCCCCCAAATCCGAATTGAATGATAAATAAATAAAATTGCTGGTGGCCACGTCTCCTGACACACCTTCGGTGTCTTCCTGGCGAGGGAATTCATGTTTTTGAGAAGCTCCATCGTCAGCCTCTTGCTGGGTGGCAGGAAAAACTTGAAAATTAAAAAGGGGTGCTTGGTTTTTCCAGGCCTTTGCCTTAGGACTGTACAACTTAATTTGGAAAACAGGAAGGTGAAAATGAAGAGCTGGTAACTGCTCTGAAATATCCCGAATTTAAACCCAGATCTGGATTTCTTTTTTCTAACCATTATCTTGGTGGGCAGCTCTTCCTGCTCTTCCTCAAAGTTATTCTTTTGTGTGTGTGTGTGTGTATATATATATATATATATATATATATATATATATATATATATATATATATAGAGAGAGAGAGAGAGAGAGAGAGAGAGAGAGAGAGAGAGAAGTTTTTATTGATTTTTTAAATACAATTCAAAAGTAATTATTCAACTAACATGTTGAGTTTCTCATTCACTAATACAAATTAAATTCCTTGTTCGTTTCTCCAGCTATTGATAAAATAAGTCCCAAGTTTGAAAATATTCTGTCCCTTCTTTTTCCTTCCAACCTCAAAGGTCATTAATAACCTCACTTTTATTTTTACGACCTGTTGCAGATGTACAGGTAGTCTTTGACTTCATTTAGGGACCGTAAGGGGGGGGGAAAGCCCTGATCCCCTGCCTTTTATTTTCCAGAGATGTTGGTTTCTGTAGAGAGGTTTTTCCATTTTTTTTCCTCTGGGCTGAGATCTCTCTTTTATCTCTCTCCTTCCTTGGCTGCGACCCTTCCTCCTGTTTTTCTCCCCCTCCCCCGCCCGTTACCCTTCCCCTCTTCCGATTCAATCCAGGTTCGTGCACGGCGGGGCCGTGGCGGCCATCCTCGACCACACCTTTGTGGGTTGCGGCATCTACGCCTTCGGCATCGTGGTGACCGCCAGCCTCTCCGTGAACTTCAAGAGGTAAGCCAGGATTTGTGCCCACAAATTGAGTGGGTAGGTAATCCTCGGCTTAACGACCAGGACGGAGCCCAAAATTTCCCGCGCTAAGTAAAAAGACATGAGTTTTGCCCCTTTTACGGCCTTTCTCGCCAGACTTGTTAAGGGAGTCGCTGCCGTTCTTAAGTTAGCGACAACGCTTGTGAGTTCGCAGGTTAGTAGGTCGTGAAAGGGGATCACGTGACCCCGGGACTTTGCGACGGTCATAAATATGAATCGCTCGCCAAGCATCTGAATTTTGATCATGCGATTATGGGGTTGGTGCGTGAAAACCGTTTCAGCGCCGTTGTAATTTTAAACCGTCACTAAGTGAACCGATGTAAGTTGAGGACAGGCTTACTCCTCGTCTGTATTTCCTCCATGATCTTGGGCTGAGAAAGGCAGAGCAAGCAGGGTGGATAGTTCAGAAGGAGAAGGAAGGGTGGGAGCTGAGAGATTTAGCTGCCACGATCCATCGTCCACTGCCCTGACAGGCCCCTCCTTCCCCTTCCAGCCCCATCCCGCTGGGCTCTGTAGTCCTCGTGGAAACAAAGGTGGAGAAAGTAGAAGAGAAGAAGATTTTCTTGTCTGGGCTTGTGCGGAGCACTGACACGCAAACCCTCCACACAGAAGCCACAGGTGAGTTTACCTGTCAAGTTCAATTGGACCCTCGGCTGTCACTCTTGGAAAAGTCTCTTATGAGGCCTTCTCCTCTCCAGCCTCCTTCAGAAGGAAAAGTAAAACGCACAAGGCGCAATCCCCGTTTATCTCCTTGACTTTTCCCTTCCTTTCCTCATATTCTGGCTTTCTCCTGGAAGGTGCCTTTTAGCGCAGGTGGGCTGGGTGGAGGACAGGTGTCTCTGTTTCCTGCAGGGCAGGGGGGTCCAACAGGTGTGGTTGAAGCTCTGGAGATACGTGATGGACAACGTGGCCAAAGGGAAAGGCATCCATGTCTCCTCCAGGAGCCTCATCCGTTTCTCTCTCTCTCCATCTCCCTGGCTGCAGCTCTCTTGATCCACCTGGACGCCAAGACCTCTTCCCATCCAGTGATAACCTCCTGCTGATTCTCCTGAAATCTCAACTTTTGGGGGGGGGGGAAACCCAGACTGATGGTGTTATTTGCACCCCTTTGAGAATAAAAGCTCAAACTGGGCTCCGGCTGTCTTCAATTCTTTGTTCCTCTTTGGATCTTTCCAGGGGATTTTTGATCTCTTCTTGATTCTTGCAAGGGGAGAAAGAGTCTTCTCCGGTCTTTGGTTATTCGGGTTTTCTCCCGCGTCAAATTGGAAGTGTCTTGGCGACGTTTCGACGAAGTCTCATTCGTCATCTTCAGGCTGGTGTTTTCAGCTTCGTGCTTCAAGGAGCAATGTGTGGTCTTAGCTCCTAGAAGCACGAAGCCGAAAACACCAGCCTGAAGATGACGAATGAGACTTCGTCGAAACGTCGCCAAGACACTTCCAATTTGACGCGGGAGAAAACCCGAATAACCAAAGACCTACATATATATGTATAATTCAGATGATGAACGCTTCCCAGAGAGCCTTAGGATCAAGAGGAAGGGGATTAAAATCGGGCTTGGGGATCGTCTTTGATCTTGGTGAAGCAACCTTTTGAGCTGTTTTGCTCATGGCTAAATGGGGAGCTGTCCGTGGTCCTGATGTTGAATAGGGGGTGGTCTCGTCCTTATGGGACGAATAACAGTTGGAAGGGACCTTGGAGGTCTTCTAGTCCAACCCCCTGCTCAAGCAGGAGACACTACACCATTTCGGACAAATGTCTCTCCAATCTCTTCTTAAAAACCCACAACTTCTGAAGGCAATTTAATCGTTCTCACTGTTCTCTCCAGGATGAGTTTCCATCCGTTGTTTCTTGTCCTGCCTTCAGGAGCTTTGGAGAATAACTTGACTCCCTCTTCTTTGGGGCAGCCCCTCAAATACTGGAAGAACCCCTGAGATATTGGAAGACTGCTCTCATATTCTCCCCCCCCCCCAATCCTTTTCCTTAAACTATACATACCCAATTCTTGCAACCATTGTTCATACGTTTTAGCCTTCAACGCCTTAATTATCTTTGTTGCTCTTCTCTGCACTCTTTCCAGAGTCTCGTTTTTTTTATATAGGGTGCAACTGGATGGGTAAGAATATAGACCCACAAAGCATGACAACCACACTCTAAGCAGCCCCCAGCGGGTCAAAAGAAAACATTTAGCATCCTGAGAGCATTTTCAGTCTCTTAAAGAGAACGGGGAACGTTTAATGGGATATGGGAGGGACCTTGAGGAACCAGGGGAAGAAATGCTGTCAGATAAGAGAGAGGTTGACCCTCAGTTGCACAACGGGTGGAAAAACACTCGGAAAGGAATTTCTGTAGCTCAACAGTCCATAAGAGACACTTATGGGAGTGGCTTCAATGTACGGCTACAGTTGAGCCCGACATTTTTGCCCTGTTTTATGACCTTGTGAAGTGAAACACGGTTGTGAAGTGAATGGATCACATAACTCCGGGCCACGCAACCGTCATAAATGTGAGCCGTTCCCAAAAGCATCTTGAATTTTGATCATGGGTGCTGCAAAGATGAGCCGAGGTGGCGCAGCAGTTAGAGTGCAATACTGCAGGCCACTTTAGCTGACTGTGTTCAGCAGGTCAGCGGTTCAAATCTCACCAGTTCAAGGTTGACTCAGCCTTCCATCCTTCCGGGGTAGGTAAAATGAGGACCCAGATTGTTGGGGGCAATGTAAATATATATATATCTACATTGCTTACTAGTATACACCGCTTAGAGAGTGCTTGCACTTAAAAGCGGTATATAAGTCTCATAAATAAATAAATAAATTTGAAAAAAAAAGTCGTCACCGGCTTTTTTTTCAGCGCCGTTCAGTTTGAAACGGTCACTAAAGGAACTGTTGTGATGTCAAGGACTGCCTGTATTTATAGCGCATTTATCCACAACACGCAACTTGCTGCATTTCTCTCTCGCCATTTCCCCCTAAATATTATGAAGCCGCTAATGGGTGTGATCCACGTTTTTCACGTCTGGTTGGTTGGCTCTGAATTTTCACCCCAGGGCATCACGGAAAAAAGTTGTGTGTTCTCACACACACACACACCAGCTTCGCAACGGCAGTGTTTCTTTTCTACCGGTTGTTGCAATCAACGATAGATTAATTAAAAAAACAAAAAAACGACCACGTGCTTCAAAGCAGAGAGTCCAGTCAATCAACGGTCGGATTGCCAAAAACGGCACCCATCCATCCCGGCAGGGAGGCGTGCCGTGTTTTCCTGGCCTGCAACTATTTGCAAACCTTTCTCCTGGCTTCAAAGAATGGGCCTTTTGTTCTTGTGTGGTGTGCAAAACCTGATCGGAGAGGGGCAGTCTGCCAACAGCAGGAGGAAAAGATTGTGTAGCCCGATGGAGGCGCCAGGAGGGTGTTCAACACAGTCCAAATTCTTCGGCTTTCTTGAGCTACACCCAGCTTCCCATCGGACGGCGGTCCAGTTTTGAGCCGGGATGCTTTTCCGAAAACAAGCGTTGAACTTCGACCTGTTGTCACCGTGGTGGGACTCCCCCGACCGACTGTTGTGTTTGTGGCTGAAACACAAACCCCGGTGACATCGAAAGGCTCCGGATGATAAACAGCAACATGGAAACTTTGGATTGTGCCGCTTGGCGCCTCGGATGCCACGAAGGCAGGTTGGGGGCGGCCCAGGGGAAGGGTTGAAGGAAGAGAGGAGGAGGAAGGCCAGGTAAATGGGGACCCGGGGGGTCATTTGGGAACTGGAGGGGCGCACGGTTTCTCATACAAGCGGACGTGAGGCGCCCCGTTATCCTTGCAAGGAGAAATCTGTATTTTAGTCCTTTTTCTATGGCTTTTGCAAGGCCACCGGGTGGGGTAAAAAAAAGGGCAACTTTTTGCAGTTTCCCTGAACTTCTTGGCACATTTTTCTTCTCGCTCTGCTTCTGCCCCAAAGCTTCCTCTGATATTTTACATTTGGGCAAAGTGGCTCTAACGTCAGGCGTGGAAATAAATAAAATAGGGAGGCTTGAGAGATTTGTAAAGCTTTGAATTTCCCCCCCCCCCTCGTCTTTCGCCCTTCCACCAAAGCATCTTTTTGCCCATCTCGGCTTCTGATTCAAGGGCGAAGAACCAAACTCTGTGCGTGTTCAGAGGCCCCGCTCTCCTTCTGCCAAATGGGTCAGCAGGTCTGGAGGGGAGGGCAAAGAAGAAGAAAAGGGTGAGGGAAGTGGAGGGATGGAGGTGGGCGTGTCTCACATGCTTGCTAGTTGTGTATCTGGGTTTGTCGTGTCTGCTCTTCCACGCCTCCTGACATTTCTGAATTTCGTCCCCAGGATATAATCCCCGACAACAGCTTAAAAGGTGTTTAAATAATACCTGGGCAAGCGGCCATATTCCGTTGTGCAAATCACCTGTTGGATCTCTTTCCAAAGTGGAAGGACACTCTTTTAAAGAAGGGGAAAGCTTAACCCCTTTGTTTTTCTTCTTCTTCTTCTTCCTCTCTCTCTTCCTTCTGTGAAACATAGGACGTTTTGTGTCCCTTGCAAAATTCCAGGAACCGTGAAAAGGGAGGAGAGGCGTCTGCTTCTTTAGCGAGTTCTCCGGGTTTTAATTTATTTGGTTCCTCCTGTTGCCAAAAACTACACCAGCAGAGAGGGCGGTTACTCACCTTTGAAGAATTAATCCTTTTTTTTTTTTTTCCCCATATTCAGCTGCAGAGGCTGCTCGGGAGAAATTGGATTTTTTGTTGGTTTTTTTTTTTTTTTATTTTTTGAATTGGAGTGTTGTTGTTTCCAAACAAGTCACTAGTCCTCATGAGGTCCGAAAACATCAGAGATGCTTTTCTCGGGCCTTGAAGCTGGTCGCAGGAAGCTGAGTTGATTCTGACTCCTGTTTGCAGGTGGATCGACTGGTTCTAACTGGGTTTTTCCTTCGATTTCCTCCCAGATTGACGTGACAGAATTCGTCCTGATGGCTCTCGCTTCTCTCTCGAAGGGACCATGTGACTTTTCTTCCCCCGGCCTGATCTGAGATGTTTTCCAAGCGAAAGACCCCCAATGTCCAACGCGCTTGCCCCAACGTGCTGACCCCCGACACAATCCCCTCGTTTTTCATCCCACCCAACCTCGCCACCTTGCAAGGACGGCGTGCGGCTGGGAAGCCCAGGGCAAGCGAGGCATCAGCCCCGCCGGTCAAAAATGAGGGCGCCGCAGTGCACGAGGGACACCGGGCCGGTGTGCGACTCAGAGGCGCTCCCACCACCATCCAGCTCCCCAACCCGATGAACTTGGGGTGCCTGCCTGAAAGCCCCAACACCTGGCGACGGGAATCGCTGTTCCACAGCAGACCCCCGCCCCACCGAGGGCAGGGGGTCTGGCTCTCCTCCCCCCAGACGAGGCCGCTTCCGCAGCCCACTCCAGGCCCGGACAGCGACACCGCCTCTTCAACAGAAAACTCCCCTTACAATTCCCCCTTGCCCACCCGTCCCCTTGGCGGGCTGCTGCCTTGCCATGGCTACAGGCCCCGCCGGCGCCTGGCCTGCCGTTCCCCCCACGCTGGCGCAACCCTACGCCCCAGCTCTTTCTCCACAGAGGACACCAGCTCTGCGGACACCAGCCCTTGCTGTCTGCGCCGTGAGGCCGATCCTGCCTGGATCTCGCCGGGTGCCTGGTCCCTGGCACCTCTGTTTCCCCTGGACCTGATGCGTTGCCACCAGCGCCTGATCAAGGAGGTGACGCTGACGGTCAGCCAAGGTGGGCAGCTGCGCCTCTCCAGCGAGTATCTCCCGCAGCAAGCCAGCTTCCGTGTGCGCCTGGTGAGCGCCGAAGGCTTCTACCCGCCTCAGGGCAGCCCCCGCCACATCCACTGCTGCGTGGCCTTGCAGCTGCGCCCTGGCCTGGGCCAAAGGCAGCGCAGCGCCGTCATCAAGAGGACCCGCAACCCCATCTTCAACGAAGACTTCTACTTTGAGGACGTCAGCCCTGAGGATCTTCCCCGGCGCAGCTTGAGGATCAAAGTGCTGAACAAGGAATGCAGCCTGCGGCGGGACGTCGTGCTAGGCGAATGCGACGTCCCGCTGGATTCTCTTCTGCCCTGAGCGGGGGTCCCTGGCAGAGAAGGGCCGGGGGGGTGGTATGGATGTCCTCGCGGATGGACGGAGGGTCAACGGCTGGCATGATTTGCTTAACGGCGTGATTTGCTTAATGGCCGTGGCAAAGAAAGTCCTAAAACCGGGCCCAACAATTGCATCCGTGACGTTTGTAACTGCTAAATTGAGCTGTGTTCTTGATTCAGGCACCAGCCACCAGGGGGAGCTGTGCTGCCCTTGGTATCGCTGCCACCTTGAGGCAGAAGGTGGTACAGCAGGAGTTGGTTGATGATAGAAGAACGAGACTCCATCCAGCTTTCCTTCAAGCCATTTTTGCTTGCAATTATCTGCACCCCCATCTTTCTTAAGGGTGGGGCAGCCCCCACATTTGAGGACAACCCCAGAATTGTGGTGTTGCAGCCAAAGGAACGAAGTGTCACCCCCAGCCGACTCCCTTTTGCACCCCTTTTAAAGGGTTTTTTCCCGTTGCATTGCTCAACTCTGCCACAAGAGGGCATCTCTTGGCACCGGGGAAACTTTGCAAAATTTAGAAATGAAAAAAGAGGATGTCACTGTAAGCGTTCTGCTCTCTTTTTAATCATTTTCGTACTTTTTCTTTTAGATTCCTAGTTTTATTATTAGGGGATGCTTGCCATTCCTTGGTCCAGCCACAGGAGGGCACGCTAGGACCAGCATTCTACTTTTTCCAACTTTTCTGGAAAGGGGGGGGGGAAATACCTATGTTTTTTACTTTTATCCTTGGCAAAATGTGCTTAGGCCCTCGCTTCCATTTCTGTTTTGGTTTGCTAACTGTTAACTAGGAAAAGTCTCACTTAGGACAGCCACTTTGCTCCTCTCTCAGAATTGGAACTTTTGGATTTATTCTGAGCCACGCTTAGGACTAGTATCATGATGGTCTTTTGTTTACAAGCTTATTGCAGGTGCAATTGTTCAGTGGCAATAAAAAGGACCGAGCCCAGGAAAAATGGGGGTATATATATTTGACCCTGAGATTTATAAACGGGGATAATAAAGGTCCAGAACTGAAAAACGAATTAGCTGTCTTCTAGGTAATGATCATAATTTATTAAATTTATAGGCACCTACATCTTTGCCTGCTTTAAAAATTGCAGAACACACCCAGCACCAAAAAAAAAAATGCATCTCGCAAATTTGATTATTATTATTTTTCTTGTTTTGACTGCAGAAGACTTTTATTTAGCAGAGTGTCACTCCTCCAGATACTTCATCAAGAGCTCATTAAAGGCCTCAATGAAATTAATAACAAGAGCGGCTGAAGATTATACCTTTTAAGTAGCCTTGATGAGGCCAGCAAACTTCTTCCAAAGTTTTAAAAACTTTGGCACTTTTTTTTTTTTAAAAAAAAAAAACCTCCTTCAATAGAATCATTGAAAATTGGGGCAGCCTGTTAAGTTAAAATAGCAGGAAGGTGAGTCCAGTATGTTTGCAACCTGGAGTTATTTCTAAAAATAATAAAAGGGATTAAAAATAAACAACGGAGTTATTATTCGACACCGAAGTAGTTCTGTTTGTGTTGCCATCCCAAAGTTTCATTTTCGCGTTTCTCCTTCGGATTGGGCTTCAGAGCGGCTTTCTTACAAACTAGAGTAGCCGCCTTCATTGGGGATTGGGTCTGCCAGCTGCAGGCACGTGCAAACCTCCCTGCGAGGTAGGATAGGAAGGGAAAGACAGCCGGGGCTGGAAGAGGAGGGAATAAGGAAATTCAAAGTCTCTAAATGCACCTCAGATCAGGAAAAGAGGTGTTTCTGCCCCTTCACTCGGCACTTAGAGGTTCCGAGGTAGACTGCTCTTAAACAGGGAGGCTCTACTCGAGCATAGGAAAGCAGGAGAAAGCTCCCGTCGCTTTCCACCCTTTCCTTGCTTCTAAAGTTCTTTTCTGTTAAAATTCTCTTTCTCGTTCGGCTTTTTTTCCCCTGGTCCGTCCGCAGGGTGGATTTCCGCCTGCGAAGGGCGCTCGCTGCAGTTAGCCTGCCTTGGCGCAGAATTTCTCGTCTTCCCAGGCCTTGAGGGCCAGCTCCTTGCAATGTTCCTGGCACCCAGACTTAAAAATACACCCAGCCCAGGGATCAAAAGCAGGTGAGTCACACTGAAGTTATATAAGCAAGCTGGCACAGCCTGCCACCCCCCCCCCCAAATTGGGCAGGACCCAGCCCGCCTTTGCGGGGTGCAGGGGGAGGGCCTCTCCAGCAGAGGGCAGCACACAGTAGACAGGCCCCAACCCCTCCCCGCCACCCCAGGATAACCCGGTTACAAAACAAACCATGATCGATTCTTCACGGCAAGCTTTTATTTAATGAAGGTCACGTTTCCGAGGAACCCAGGAACTGCCTGTATATAATTTAATTTTATACGTAATTTTATTCATCATACGTGGCTGAGTCTGACTAAGAATCTAGAGAACTGTAAAAGAGGTCTAGTCAGTTTCACTGTCTTTTTTGTGTGTGTGTATTTTTTTTTTCTCCCTGTCCTGGCTTTTGACTCAGTTGGTTGGGGAAATGGAAAAACTGGTTCTGTGTGCAAATCCCTCTCCTTCCCTGGATGGAAAGACAGGATTACACCCTGCTCAGAGGAAGCAATTTTGTGGCGGCCTCGGCGGCTTCTCCTCTTTGCCCCCTTTCCACCGCCGAGAACGCAGATTTGAATTTTCCAGTTTTCCAGGCAGGAACCGGCTGGCTGGGAATCCTGGGAGCTGAAACCCAATGTGGACGTGGGTGCTGGAACAAGGGCGGGTGGCGAACGAGGGCACGGTGATACGCCTGCTGCACTTGTGGAATTGCTGCCTTCTAGCAAGCGGAGATTAGAAGCCCAGGAGCCCCTAAGGGGGGGGGAGGATCCCCAGGCTGGCATTCAGGAAGGCGGGTTTGGCAGCTGGCACAGGTGAGGTGCCCCCACACCACCACCCCCAAGCCTGTCTCGCTGCCTGAACCGCCCAGTGTGGCAGCCCCGGGTGAGGACCCATGTGCCCCAGCAGCCGAGCACGTAAACAGTAATTATCCCTGGGGACGGGCGAGGGTGTGCCCAGCCAAAGGGGTGGGGGAGGGAAGGCCGCCGGGGGTGTCACCCCTCCTTCCAGGCAGGGTTGACTGGCGCCCTTTGGAAGGGCTGGGAAGCAGCGCCCATCATCCCCGGCCTTTCCTTCGGATGATTAGTTCTGCGCTCGAGCGCCATGTCTGTTTTTTTTTTTCCTCCAGAGTCCGGTAGACTGCCCCTGCCGCAGGGAGCTCGCCAGGGAGCAAGCTGTGGATGCAACACTTTCTCTGTGTTTACACACAGTGTGTCACACCTTCTTTCAAGTTCAGTGTGCGAGGGATCCGAGAGGTGTTTTTGCAGGTCCTTTATTTCTGCCCCATTACACACACACACACACACACACACACACACACCTTCTCTCCAGTCCGGCGTGCAAGGAACACGAGTGTTTTTGCAATCTCCCCATTTAACTTTACACACGCACAAACATATACACACAAATTCACTTCTCTCCGGCTGGGCGTGCAAGGGACCCGAGCGGAGATTGATTGGTTTGTTTGTTTGTTTGCAGGCCCTTTCCCCTTTCTTTTGCACACCCAGCCACCACTTCTCTCGAGCTCTGGCGAGCAAAGGACCCCAGGAGAGGGTTTTGTTTTGTTTTGTTTTTGCACGCCCGCTCTTTCTCTTTTGCACCCACAACTCAACACAAAGTCACGCCTTCTCTTCCGCGTGCAAGGGAACCCCGTGGAGATTTTTTTTTTTTTTGCACGCGGGATTGCACGTGCGGGGGGGTCACGCGGCCTCGGCGTGGCGGGGGGGCGGGCTAGAGAGGGGAGGGGGGTCGCCTGGGCCCGATCCAGCGGCGCCGAGTTGTGTAACGCGCAGGGCGGCTGTGCAGCCTCGGCTAATCGAGCGCTGTTGCAGGGAGGGCGAGCGGGCTGCCCCCCTCCTCGCGGGACCCCCGGACCCCCGCCTTTCCCGGGTTCCCATTCTTAGCGCTATTATTATTAGCAATATTAGGCGGCGCTGGCAGCCGGTGGGGAATGGCCGGGCAGGAGTCCGTAGGGTAAAGCCCGAACTTGCGCCGGTCTCCAGGCGCACCTGTTGAACTTCTGCTCCTCTCCCCGGCATACCTGGTGAGGCTTTGGGGCAGCTGGGGCTGAGGGAGAGAAAGCGCAGCTTGACCGGCTGCATAGCTGCCCTGGGGGGGGGGGAAGCGGGCCGGGAGGGGCGACAGGCGGAATTGCCGCCCGGACTCAATGCGGCGTCCCCTTTTCCTCTCCGGGAGGGAGATGCAGAAGCTTCACCTGTTGAACGACCGGTCCAAGGAGGTTTTTGGGGAGGAGGGGGTCTCTGGGCCGGGGACTTGCCCCCGTCTGCCTGCACTACACGGCCCAGCGTGCCGGGCCAGCGGAGGAATAGGCTCCGCGGGGCTGGCCCGTCGGTGGGGCCTCACCGGTTGGGTTTCCGGGGGAGGGCGCGGGGCGGGACGGGGACGGGCCAGCTCGGCGGCGCGCCTCTGCCGGCCGCTCCGGAGCTTCGGGTCGCCACTGCCGCTGCCTGCAGCCGGGCAAGGCGCGTCCCCGGCCCGGACGACCCTCCCCATGGAACCCGGAGCAGCCAAGCGGGGCCGGGGCGCCCCCCGAGGTAAGCCGGGCCGGGGGGGGTCTCGCTGCTCCCTCCCGCCTCTTTCCCCCCTCCCCCCGAGGAAGGGAGGAGTCGCCCCCTCCCCTCTCAAGGGGTCCGGCTGCGCCGCATGAGCCTTGGAGTCCCGCGCCCCTGAGCCTCGCGGCGAGGGAGGCGGAGGGAGCGCTTTTCCAGAGGACTAAGGACGACCCCTGTAATCTTGAGGGGTCCCCCTCCCCCCAAAGTGTCGGGGATCTTTTTACAGGGACCCCCCCTTTTAAAAAAACTTTATGCCTTCAAGTGAAGGATGACGTTTCTCTTTCCGTATCGGCCACCCCCCCCCTTCTCGCCTCCCCAAACTTTTCTAGCTGTTGGGGAGCCCATGCTTGGAGAGGTGGAGGGTGTCCGGGGCTCCACTTCTCTCCCCCCCCCGTCCTTCCCCTTCCCTCACCCAACCTCTGTTCCATTCCCTGCCTCTCTTCTTTGCACTGTCTCCTGCTGCAAGTTTCTAGTCCTCATGAAGGAACCCAGCTCTCTGGAGATCGTTGACAAAGCCTGTCTTCATCTGCCCAGAACCCCAATTAAGTAATGTGCAGCACTTTTGAGCCGTGGCTTTGTGGGGGGAAAAGAGAGAGAGACAGAGAAAGAGTGAGAGAATAAGAGAGAGAGAGGAGAAAGAAAGAAAGAGAAAGAGCAAAGAAGAGAGAGAGAAGAGAGAAGTGTGAAAAGAGAGAGTAGAGAAGAGAGAAAGGGAAAGAAAGGAGAAAGAGAGGAGAGCAAAGAGAAGGGGATAAAGAGGGAGAAGAGAAGGAAGGAAGGAAGGAAGGAAGGAAGGGAAAGAAGGGAGACAGAAAGAAAGAAAGAGAGAGAGAGAGAGAATCTGGCTTAGAGGCAGGGAGCTGTGTGAGGTTGCAAACGTGCCTGTCCAGTTTTGGAGCTGCTCCGGTTTTGCTGCCGGCCTCCGCGGCCCAATCACCCCTTTTGCTCTTTGACCTCCAGCGCGGCAGCCCCTCTTGGAATGGGGGGGCTGCATAGAGGGGGGGTCTTGAGGGCTTGTTTTTCTAAAAAAAAATCTGATTTTCTAAGAAATCAACTTGACTTTCCTTCCACTTTCTTTGCCAGGGCTCAGCTCCAAAGAACCACGTTTGGCTGTGTTCAGGGCTAGACACCTGGGGAAAAGATTTATTATTATTATCATTGTTGTTGTTGTTGTTATGCATAATATAAGAATTGCATTGGGGAGATTCTGGTCCCTGCAGAGAGCATTTTTAAAAAGGAAACATTTTTGGTACCGTGTTTAATGTTGGATGTGATGAAAAAGCTCTCCTTTTATCCTCCAAGGAGCTGGGGGGGGGGAATAAATAAACTGGCTTCTTTTCCCCAGCTCTATAAGGATGCTACCCCCAACCCTGCGAGGTAGGCTTTAAGCCCACCGTTTGAACCCCGGGGATATCCGAGGAGCTTTAGAGCTGGTTGAAACCTGGCTAACTCCAAGATCCTACCTTGACTTAGCCGCCAAAAAAGATGCTTGTTTTTTTTTTGTTTTGTTTTTAACCACCTTCACATCTTATCTACTCATTCTTCTTTTTGCTTCCTCGGCCTCGGAAACTGACCGGACTCGGGTCAGGTTTTCTGGATCCTTTGTTTCTCTTTTCCAAAGGCAAAACAGCTGTTGCCAAACAGCCTTTTATCTATTGATTTATTTATTTATCCTTTTTCCCTGTTGGGCAACTCTACTCCTGGGTGAAACGGCAAACAACTTTCTTTGATCCGGTCTGTTTCTCCAGCCCTCGCGAGGAATCTGAAGCTGACCTTGTCAGTTTCACTGCCTCTCCTTCTTCTCCGGCCCTGCCTGGGAGTTTCCTATCTTTTGAAAGGCTTATCCTTGTTGGGAAGCCAAGCTGGCGAAATCTCACCCGGGGCCCTTCCAGATGCTTGTCGGCGTCGCAATTTGATTCTCGGCAAATGCCAATCACAGGCAGGGCCCCGATCACGGGGGCAAAGGAGGAGTCCTCGGCTGACGACCGCAGTCAAACCCAGCCTTTCCTTCCATCACTAAGCGAGACGGCTGTTACGTGAATTTTCTGTAGGATGCTAAGCAAATTTTGCCCCCTTCTGCAGCCTTTCTTGTCGCCGTTGCTAAAAAGAACCCCTGTGTTTGTTGAGCTAGCAACACGGTCGTTAAGCGGATCCGGCTTCCCCATCTTGACTTTGCTTGTTGGAAAGTCGCCAGAGGGGATCCCGAGACTCCCACGGGGACACTGCGGCCGTCGTAAATGCGAGTCAGTTGCCAAGCGTCTGAATTTTGATCACGTGACCCTGGGGAGGCTCGTAAGGGTGAAAAAACAGCCCTGAGTCCCTTTTTTCCAGTCACTAAGTAGACTGTCGTAAGTCGAGGACTGCCAATATCCTTCAGGGTACTGGAAAGAGGCGAAAAAAAATGGGCACTGGGTGGGGTGGGCTGGGCTCCCCCAACCTCCGTCAAGGAATTTGCAAAAAGAGACATAAGAGACTTGACTGAGGATTAGAGCCTTGCTTGGCTCGGCAATTCTTTTTTTTTTTTTTTTCTCCAAAAACTTTTTGGGGCGAGGTGCGGGTCTTCACCGCCGCAGGGTAGCTCCCCCCTGGTGTGGACGCATCTCTGGGCTCTGAGTTCGGGAAAAGGAGGGGGGGCCGGATGGAGTCAGATGGGGGGGTGTCTCCCTAGCAGAGGACTCAAGGGAAGTCGGAAGGGCGCTTTGCAACGTCCGGAAGGGCCCCCAACTGGCTAGCTGGACTTCCCACCGGTGAGCCCAGTTGGGGGGGGAAATCAGATTTTCTCCCGTCTGAAGCCTGATTCGAGGCAGAAAGCGCTCTGTGCATGCTCAGAGAATCCCGTCCTAAACCAGAGAAGGGAGGATGAGTTGTAAAGTGGAGCTGGAGGCAGATTTTAAACCTTCTTCCCAGCAAAGAGGACTGGAGAAATCCAGGAATTTGTGGAGAAATCCACACACTTGTTGTGTGTTGGTGTCTTTTCTCTGCTTGGGAGAGTTTTTCCTCTGTTGGTGCTAGCGAAAATTGGAGGGTTCTTGGCTCAATCAGTCAATCAGAATGGATCTGGAAGAGACCTTGGAGGTCTTCTAGTCCACCACCCCCCCTGCCCAAGCAGGAGACCCCGGACCATTTCAGACAAGATTTGGCCCTGTGAGTTGTTCCATCTTTGGGAAGCTGGCGTGGAATTTCCTAAGGACAACCAAACGGCGATCCGTTTAGTGACCATTCCAAGTTTCAACGGCGCTTTAAGAAGTTGAGCTACGACGGCTTTTTCGCCCTTAACGACCCCACGGTCCCCCGATCAACATCCGGATGCTTGGCAACGGACTCGTATTTACGACGGTCACGCAACCCCCGTTTGCAAGAAGCAAAAGTCGATGGGGAAGCCGGCTTCACTTAACAACCGGGTGGCAATTCGCTTAGCGGCAGCAAGGGAGGTGGGAAAGGGAGGCAAAATCCACTGAACAGATGTCCCGCTTAGCGACGGAACACTTTGGGCTCCATTCTGCCGTTAAGTCGGGGGTGACCTGTGACGAATAAATAAATACAGAGAATTTTGGCAAAAGGGGCAGAATTTAATAAAAGGAAAGAAAAAAAAGGGAAGGTGGAAGGCTTTTTTGGGGGGGGGGGAATCAGAGGGGGAGCTGAGCGTCGGTAGGATTTGCACCCGTCTCCTGTGGAGAGTAATTTCAGGTACAAAGTTTAATAGTGGTTTAAACCGAGTGACTCGTTTCTAGCCAGGTTTGGAGATTCCCCACGAAGAGGGAGCAGAATGCCCTGGAGGTTGTCCAGGACTCCGCCCCTTTTAGCCAAGCCCCGCCTCTTTGATGGAGGAGGGGGCTCCGCTAAGTGCTTCTTGGAGGGGAAACAGTCCCAGAATTCCCTCCCTGCTCTGGCACGGCTAATAAAGTGAAAGCTGGGGAGGAGCTAGGCAAATTAGGTCTGATTCCAGCAGGTTGATTCGCAAGTGATCTCTGAGTGGTCTCCTTTCCCATACAGCATGTATGGAAACTTGCTAAATCTTTGCAATCTTTTGACGCATTTGGACAGCGGTGTCCATTGTCCCCAGAGCATATGGTCATTTGAGGAACGGTGGGAGGGTCCCATTGGGGGGGTCAGCTACCCTGGCCTTGCCGGTTCTGAGTGTGAGCAAGATTGGTGAGTGTTGGTGAGGCAGGCAGCCTGCAGGATTTGGGTGTTTGTGCCTCGCAGGTAAGGCACCCCGTGGTTACATAATCCCCTTGCACCGGTCTGGGTGTGCCCGGAGTTGTGAGCCAGCTTGGGCGGGGCTTAGAGCCTCTCCAGTGGAGACGTGGGTGTTTGTGTGCGGTTGCGGTTGTGTGCGTCTCGATGTGACAGTGGGAGACGGACGATCCGGTGGCAGGGTTTGAACCAGGCCTGGCATTGCTTCAAACGTGCCCGGGGAGGTAAATGTGAATTGGGCTCAAACCCCAATCTCCTTTCCCGTCTCTGGGCCTCTCGAGAACCCTGCGAGGTAGGACAGCCAAGGGCGGAATTAAATGCCAACAGGCTTTGCAAGCTTCCTTGGCGTGTAAGCGAGCCCTGGGCCACCCGCTTTGCATCGCAGACTGCCCACGCCTTTGGCCAAGCCGGGTGAGCACGAATCAGCCAGCAACTAATCAGTGGTGGCTCCGGGTCTTTGGAACTCCTGGCCACTAGATTTTCGCACTTAGCAAAGCTCTTGAAGAGGGCTGGCTTTGCATTGAGCCGGTCGATCTAGAGGTCCCCTCGAATCGGAGGTCTCCAAAGGTGACAACTTTGAAGACTTGTGGACTTCAACTCCCAGAATTCCCCAGCCTGGCAAAAGCTGCTCAAGAAAACTGAAATAGCTCCTTCCAACAGCCCGCCATTGGCTGGCTGGCTGTGATGTCACGGAAGGATTCGGCCAATCGGGAGCAGGTCAGCAGAGTGTCCAGAACAGGCAGAGATGCAATATGGTTGAAAAGGAGAGTATGCAAATGAGATAAGGGATATTATTTGGGGGTTCCCCCTTTTTCTATTTTTCTGCCCCACCGATAAATCTCTCATTTTTCTGGGGAAAAAAAAAGCAAACGGAGGCAACACCCCCCCCCCCAAATTCTCTTTGCACCCCCAGGAAACCCACCCACCTTCTTAATCCAGTTTGACTCCTCAATACAGTGCTGGGGATGGACTGCTTCTTTGCTCCCCCCCTCCTCTCAACTTCCTCTCCTGCTCCTCTTTCTCTCTCTCTCTCCTTTCTCTCTTTCTTGCATTCTCTCTCTATTTTTTCTCTCTCACTTAACTCTTCTCTGTCCCTTTCTCTTCACTCTCTTCTCTCTATGTCTCCACTCTTCTCATTCTCTTCTCTTTCTCTTTTCTCTTTCACTTCATTCTTCTTTCTCTCCTCTGCCTTTCTCTCTCTCTCTCTCTCTGTCTTCACTCCTCTCTCTCTCTCTTTCTGTCTCTTGTTTCTCTCCTTTCTTTTTTCTCTTTCACTTAATTCTTCTTTCTTCTCTCTCACTCTCGGCCTTTTTCTCTCTCTCTCTGCCTCTTCTTTCTCTCTTCTCTCTCTCTCTCTCCCACTTTCAGTTTTGGCCTCTACAGGCCTGGAAGAGGGGAGAAGCCTTGCAACCGGCTGCTGTTGGCTCCGCGCCCCGGGACTGGCTGCCTGCCAGGACCTGCTAAGGGAGTTATGTAAGTGCCGAGTTCAAGCGAGGACGGGCTGGCGACAGCTCAGCCAGCCACAAGCCGATTTCCCCAGCAAAACTCTTAAGATGAAGATTTGGGGGGGGGACAGCGAGCGAGGGGCGGGGGGGATGCCAGCCTCGGTAGGTTTTCAGCCACGCTGTCTCCTGCCTGTCTTTGCCAACTCCTAAGAAGCCTTTTGGGGGGCTTTGGAAAGGGGTCCCCAAGAATTAACCTGTCCCCTTCACCTTGCAGCCAGACAGGGTGAGCCTCTGGAGCTTCTGGGGGCAACCAGTACTACATTTCCCATCATCTCTGCCTGGCTGTGCTCTCTCTTGGGATCTGAAAGACCGGGGGGGGGGGGCTTGGAGAAACCTCCAAAAGACCCCACCCCTTTGGCCAGGAGGAGGAGACACACCCAGTTGTCAAATGGCCTTTAAAAAGTTTGCAAGGAGCTAGTTTGATTGTGTCTGAAGGTTGCGTCGCTGGGGATGGGGTGAGTTGGCTTGGTGGCCCTTCCTTCCTTCCTTCCTTCCTTCCTTCCTTCCTTCCTTCCTTCCTTCCTTCCTTCCTTCCATCCATCATATTGCTTCTATCATTTTCCTTCCTCCCTCCCTCCCTATCCCATTCCATTCCAATCTGTCTGTCTGTCCATCCATCCATCCATCCATCTTTCTCTACCTATCTATATCTGTCTGTCTATCTATCCATCCATGCATCCATCCATCCATTTTTCTCTACCTATCTATATCTGTCTATCTACCTATCTATATCCATCCATCCATCTCTACCTATCTGTCCGTCCGTCCATCCATCCATCCATTTATCTATCCATCTATCTCTACCTACCTATCTATCTGTATCTAATCTAATCTAATCTGCCTGTATCCTGCCTTCATTTTAAATAACTCAAGGCCGCAAACATTGATATCAGTTTATCAGTCACTTCAAAACAAAATTTTAATTTCGTTTTTAAATTTTTGGCCTCTGTTGCTGAGTGGCTGCTGTGTTGGATCTGGTGTTCGCTACTCGGCCGTGGTGACACTTCCGTTTTATGCTTTTGATTGACGAAATTGCATGTTTGAGGATTAAAAAGAAGACATTCAGAGAAAAAGGTGCACATGGAGGGACAGTTTTGTTTGTAAGTTTCTCCTGCCCTCCCTTTTTTTCTCTCTCTCTCAAATTTTAGCATGTTTTGGCAATCTTCTCATCTATTCACGAAAGCTGCAAACTCAGATGTGTTGATTTACATCAAGGAAGATAAACGATGAAATTCTGCAAGTCGCCCAGTAGTGGATTTTGATATTTGCTTGCAAAAAAAAAAAAAAAAAAAGCCCCCCAAAAGCAAAACTCTGGGCTCATGTGGACTAGCAGCCTTGTTTTCTGGTTAAATAGGAAGGCCCGATTCTTCTCGGTTACCTGATTGGTGCAAGATATGCAGAATGTTCAGCTGTGTTTGGCATAACCCAGGAGGGAGGGGGGATTCAACGAAGCACCGAATTAGGGGGAGGGAAATAAGATTTGTTCCATTTTAGGCCTTTCGTGGGATCGATTCTTTTAGTCCCTAAAAATTTGCAGGGATGAGAAAGACGCTGCGTTGTTTTTCACAGTCACACACGAGGCTAAATACACAAACACCCTTTTTTTTTTTTTGTAGGTGCAGAAACTTTTGGTTTTGTTGTTGCTCTTGGGGGAGGTGGCAGAATTCGAACTCCTGACCAGGTCATTAGAGAACTGCGAACAGGCTGTGAGATTCTCCTCGCCTTAAAACTGGGGGGGGGGGCTAGTTATTATGCTGCCCCATTCCGCCCCCCACCCCAGTGCCAGAGTGAACCAACTCAACCCCAACCAAGCCAGCTGTGGCCAAAAGCTCCCCCTTGTGGTCAAAAATAAACGGTGTCGCCATTCTCCCAAGCTGAGGCTCTTTTCAGCTGGGGGGGGGGGGTGAGGCTGCTCCTTTGAAGCCCTTCCCTCCCTTTCGTGTCCTCCTCCTCCTCCTCCTCCCTTCCACCATTGATGATGTTACCTAGTTGGGTCATGAAACATCTGCAAAAAAACAAGCAAGCTCAGAGAACACCAAGGACCCCACAATCCTCCTCCTCCTCCTGCTTCTCCTCTTCTTCCTCCTCCTCCTCCTCCTCCTCCTCCCTACAAACCCCCTATTCTCCTAGCATTGATGATGTTCCCTAGTTGGGTCATGAAACGTCTCCAAGAAAACCGTCAAGCTCAGAGAGCGCCAAGGATCCTACAGTCCTCCTCCTCCAAGCCCATGGTGCTTTGCCTCTCCTGTTGCATCAGGCGGACCATTGGCTAATCTCCCGTGGCTTGGGGCATCTTTGGGCAGACTTTCCATGACGTCACAGCATCTTAGCCAATAGCCCAGCAGGGATGTGGGCGAGATGGAAAGTTCCTAAGATTGATGGTTTGGGAAGGGCAGTTTCTAAGCCGGCTTCCCAGGGGCCCCGACTGGCCCTGGTCTTAACTCTCCCTTCTCTCTCTTCCTTTCAGGAGCTGCAGCCATGAAGAAGACCCACAGCTGTGAGTACTGAGGGTGGGGGGGGGCTTCTGGGTTTCGCTGGGGGGGGGCGGTGGGAAGGTGCTCTTCGACCAATTCAGAGTTTGCAGAGTTTTCAAGAAAAGATCAGACAGCCATTTGTCCGGGGGGGGGGTTGACTAGATGACCTCCAAGGTCCCTTCCAGCCCTAGCATTCTATGATCCTACGATCTGATCATTTTATTTATTACATTTGTTTGCTGCAATTATTACTTGATTACTCTGTATCGTTCTGTCATTTTATTTACTTCTGACATCTGTTATTATTCTATTATTTTATCATTTTGTCATTGTCGTTTTATTTATTTCTTAAATTTGTTATCATTATTAATTCCATTGTTCTGTCATTCTGTCATTTTATTTATTTCTTAAATTTGTTATTCATTCTATTGTTCTATCGTTTTACCCTCTTTTCCCATCATTTTGATCAGCAGCAAAATGAGATTTTTTTCTGCAGCTCTTTTTCACCTGCACAAACCAGCCACCCCTCCCCCCACACACAGACACACTCTCTGTATGTGCAGAAAGATTTGGGTGTTGTTTTGTTTTTTTGGTTTTTAATTCTGCTCGTCAGGATTGCAAAAAAAGGGGAACGTTCTAACTGCCCATTAGAGAATGGTATGTAATTTTGATTTGGATTCGGTTTTGAGTGGTAAAAGGAACAACTGTTCTCGGTTTAATTTGAAAATCAGCACTTCGTACACTTTACGCTGGGCTTGTCCATTTTGGTCAGGAGCAAAACGGGGATTTATTTTGATGGCCCAAAACTCTTTTAGGACAAGCAGACTTTTGCCAATTTCTGTTGACAAAAGTTTTGCCTATTTTTGCATCGCCAGTTTATTCAGGGATGTGACCTGGATTGGTGGAGAAATGACGCCGAAACTCCTTATGATTTTTTCTTTTTCTGGAGAGATCTGATCTTACTTTTTGATCTGGAGGGATCAGACGGGACCTGACCGCTGTTGCTAAACTCAGTTAGTTTCAAACTTGGATTTGGGAGGATTTTGAGCCGCACGTTGTTGGAAATCCAGGCTGCGTGTTTCGTTTGAGAGGCTGATCATGACTGATTGCCAGAACCTCTGATTAGCTTTTTTGGAAGGGCTAATTAGCCATCTTTGCAAACCGGGCTTCAAAGCTTGATCTCTGTTAAATCGTGGTTTTCCTTTGGCTTGGCAAGTTGGCAATGGCGTGGGGTCCCATGGCCCAGTTGCCAGGGCAGGATGTGTAGCCTTCAAAAGCACAAAAACGGCCAGAATTCCAAAAGCTGTCACCGTCTTTGCCTTTCCCTGTTGGCCTCTGCAGATAGACTGCTCCTGGTTTGGGAGGCTCAACGGAGCCGCCCTTTAAAAAGATCTATTTTGTCTTCCTGGCTTTTAAGAAGCTATTTGTTTTCCTCGCTCTGAACCAAGAAGTGAAGCTGAAGAAAACAATTTCTGTTGGTTTTTTTTTTTTAAATTTTTATTTTTGTCAGTCTCCAAATCTGTTTTTTTTGTTTTGTTTTTTGTTTTTTTAAATAAATTTGGGGCCTCTGGGCGTGGGAGGTGGGCACACACCTTGGCTTCCTCTCTGTGGGGTGCCTGGTACAGTTTTCTGTGTGGTGCAACCCCATCCTGTGTGCCTGATCAGCATCATGGGTTATCGCATCCTTTGCTGGCACATTCAGTACCATGTGGCCCCACCAGCACCCAAAAGGGTGGGGGGGTGGGCTGTACTGGAAATTGATCTTCCCTCTTTACGTCAATGGTTTCGGGGCTGCAGTGACCCCAAAAAGCACCGACAGGCGCATTTTGCCCATGTATAGTCATTTTCCTTAGCAAAGTGGACAAGATAAATTGGGACTCTCCCAGCCCTTTCCCCACACAGGAATGCTTTTTGGCTTTTTATATCCTTATTTTTTTATTTAAAAAAATGGGGAACAAACTAGGGGGGGCAGGATAGCAGCCTTCCAATATTTGAGGGGCTGCCCCAAAGAAGAGGGAGTCAAGCTATTCTCCAAAGCGCCTGAAGGCAGGACAAGAAGCAATGGATAGGAACTAACCAAGGAGAGAAGCAACCTAGAACTAAGGAGAAACTTCCTGACAGTTAGAACAATTAACCAGTGGAACAACCTGCCTCCAGAAGCGGTGAATGCTCCAACACTGGAAGTTTTTAAGAAGAGACTGGATAGCCATTTGTCTGAAATGGTCTAGGGTTTCCTGCCTGAGCAGGGGGTTAGACTAGAGGACCTCCAAGGTCCCTTCCAATTTTATTATTATTGTTATTACTATTGTTACTACTACTACTACTACTACTACTATTATTACTACTACTACTACTACTATTGGAATCTCTCCCATTTGCTGACTTTTTTTTCTTCCTTGCAAACCATCCCCAAAAGTCTCAGCCATTGGAGGATTGAAATTTAAAAAAAAATACATATTTGATTAATAAAGGTGAATTAAAAGTGGCTCTTTGCAGAACCCTAAAATGATTTAAAAGCAAACAAACAACAACAACAAAAAAAAAAACACCTGTACTGGCAATTTGTTTTTTCAGAGTTCAAGAGTAGTTTTAATTGCTTAAATCGAGGCGGTTTCTGATCTTTTGAATTTTCCAAGATCCTCAGAGAGGCCCCTTTTTGGGAAGGGATCTCAAGAGATTATATTCCCCATTTTCACTCCCCCTCCCCCAAAAATCCCCCATCCCCTTACCTGCAGAAACAGGGACAAATGCTGTACAAAGAAGATCGGCCAGAGACAGGTCGCTCAAATCAGTGAGCCAATCTGCATTTCTTCGAGACGAGGAAAAAAAAAGGAAAAAAAAGCTCTCTTCAATCCAAATATTAAAAGACTTGCTGGCGAGCCCCTGCCTCTTTCTCTCTAAGTAGACCCCCCACCCAAAAAAACCCCATCCCTCCTGCTTTTTTGCTAATGGAAACTGGGTCCTTTTTTGTGGTCGTTCTGTTTCTCGCTCTTTTTTCGTCTTTGTGGTTGTGAAACTTTCCAGCCCGCTGCTGTCGGTTTCTCCCTTCTTTTTCCCCACCCCCAAAATACAGCCGGGGCTTCCGATTGGCCCCCGGGAATGACAGTCTTGAGGTGAGCAGCATCACCTGGAGACACTCGCTTGCTCCCCGACTGTCTTTTCCGAAGCGAGACATAAAAATCAGACCAGCGTTCATCGACCCGGCCTCGGAGCCTTGATCTTAACATCTGGCATTGAACAGTTGTGGCAGAATCAAGGTGCCAGCCTCTCTGAAGCTTTCCCACAACCCAGCGGCATCATGCGAGGTACCAGCACTGGGGAAGGGGTGTCAGAGGGGGCAGCTGCTTGGCGACACTTTGCACGCTCGTTCAGACCTTGAAACTTAAAAAGGGAAGAAAAGCTTTCTCAAACTTTTTGAAGTTTGAAAAAGAAAAGTTTCTCCAAACTTTTGGAAACTTAACGTTAGAAAAAGAAAAGTTCCTTCAAACTGCTTGAAACTTAAAAAATAAGACTTTCTTCAAACTTCTTGAAGCTTCAACGTTTCTTCAAATTTCTTGAAACTTAAAGAAGAGTTTCTTTAAACTTCTTGAGACTTAAATGTTTCTTCAAACTTCTTGAAGCTTCAAAGATTCTTCAAATTTCTTGAAGCTTAAATGTTTCTTCAAACTTCTTGAAGCTTCAAAGTTTCTTCAAATTTCTTGAAACTTAAAGTTAAAAAAGGCAGGAAAAATTTCTGCAAACGTCTGCTCCAAGAGGCACAGCTCCCGTGTGAGAACATTTACGGCAGATGAGCAGGCTTTTCCCCTTACGTTACTTCCCACTTGCAGAATCCTAGCCAGAATTCTCAGGTTATTTGGAATAACCCAGGTTTAGGGTGGCATCCTTCTTTTACTCTGCCACGTCTTCCAGAAACAGAGGCTGGGATTGTGGGTCTGTCTGCATGCGTGTGTGATGTGATGTGCGTACTTCCCTCACTGCGCTACGGATGAATTTGACGGTTCTTGATTTCTGTGCTGGTTGTGTTTTGTACAAGCCGGCTTGTTCACGGTTTCAGAAACTCATGAAAATAAGATGAAACTATGAATGAGATGAGATAAGGGAAGACAAGAAAAGATAAGATAAACTGAGCCATGAAAAGTTTTAATATTGTAGTGGCGAGAGAAATTCTTTCAAATACTGGGCCTGTTGGCGCCAAATTATTATAAATTGGAAGGAGGAGGAGGAGGGGGAAGAGGAGAATGAGGGAAAGGAAGAAAGAAAGAAAGGAAGGAAGGAAGGAAGGAAGGAAGGAAGGAAAGAAGAAAGAAAGAAAGAAAGAAAGAAAGAAAGAAAGAAAGAAAGAAAGAAAGAAAGAAAGAAAGAAAGAAAGAAAGAAAGAAAGAAACTCAGCCCATCTCTTATGTGCATGCAGGGCAAAAAAGACCCCTCAAAAAACACACCGAAATTTAGAGAGAGGCAGAGAGGCAGAAATAGTGCCCAATTAATGCAGCCCTTTTACGGTGATTCCAGCAAAACGGAGGCCTCAGTTGCTCTGTCGTCTTTCCTTTATAACACTGCCTGTTTTCCGCACAACTGATCCAGAAAAACTGGGCCAACAAATTGAATAAAGAAATAAAAATAAACCGTTGCAAGACTTAAAAGCAATATTACCCCAATATGTAGCATTGCGTTGTGGCGACCTGGGAGAAATTGCACAGTTTTAATGTAAATTCGGCCCCAGTTCCTCTCACTGAGCGGATAAATTGTTCATTTGCACCCAAAACTAACTAGAGTTTTTCTTTCTTTCTTTCTTTCTTTCTTTCTTTCTTTCTTTCTTTCTTTCTTTCTTTCTTTCTTTCCTTCCTTCCTTCCTTTCCTTTCCTTTCCCACAAATTGATTATATTAAGTTAGAGGGGACACCCTCCCTCTTTCTCTTTCTTTCTCACTCTTTCTTTTTTTCTTTCTTTTTCTTTCTTTTCTCTCCTTCCTTCCCCCTTTCCCACAAATTGACTGTAATAAGGCAGAAGGGACACTCTCTTTCTTT